AGAGAGAGAGAGGGGGGGGAGGGTGAGAATGTTTAAATACCAAGAGAGACAAAACCAGAGAGAGACAGAGAAGAAGATAGACAGACAAAGACAGTCAGACAGACAGATAAACAGACGGACTGATAATCAGACAGACAGACTGATAAACAGACATATAGACAGACAGACTGACTGACATCCATGCAGACAAATCATAAGTACAATGTGAAGTAGGAATGAGAAACAGGCTGCTGGTTAAAGGGCCAGGAAAAGGTACGTTATTTGATCAGATATAGAGAAAGGGCGCAGTATCCATCCGGAGACGTCTCCAACGGAAATAGACCAATCAAAATGCTTTGTGCCTCTAGACCAAGTAAAAAAAATGGGGGGGGGGTTACAGTCAGGCATGCCCACCTGTTTTAAACCCATAATTTGATATTTTGCAGTTAAGTTTGAAATTTTCTTGAAAATAAATTATTTGCCGCAGTTTTAGTTGCTAAACAAGTGTAATCTGCAGCAAATAATACGCAGTTTGACCCCCCAAAGCAGTGCATCTGTGTGCGGGAGTACGTCTCCGAATATTGTTTCTGGGTGCTCGCCGAATTTAAGACGTCTCCGAATATCTTCTGGCGAGAAAGGTTAGTGGATGGATTGCGCGAGGGGCGCCGCGAAGGAGGGGGGGGGGGTGTACTAGTAATTATTTTCTGTCTTTCTGCGTCTCTCACCGATTTGTAGCTGGTGAAATCCCGAGAGGATCGACGACCGTACATTGTGGGTGGTTCTCTTTATCCACACCGAGCAGGGGTCAGTGAAGGTCTTGCCTCATTCACGCTGACCTGGCATCAGGCCTTGCTTCTGTTCGCTGCCGCATCGGCCTCTGGTCTGCTCACACTCCCGACTCATCCACAGCGAGGTCAGCCAAGTCCTCACTTAGTTCTGTCCAGTCAGTCACTGATGAGAAAGACAGCAAACAATACATTAGGCAATGAGTTATGTCATGTCCCTATGCGCCAGTCCCCCTTCTCTTTCCACTTCCTCCCCCCCCCCCCAAACCCTCTCTGCCTCCGCCTCTCGGTCTGTTTCTCTCTCTCTGTCTGTCTCTGTCTGTCTCTGTCTTTCTCTCTCTGTCTCTCTCTCTATC